TTTAAATGGGTAGCCCTCTACACACTTATACCTCACTCTAATTTTGTCACTTTTCAGCAGCTTTAATTTCTTTTGATTAACCAATGAATAAAGGTTCATGGACTTTCTAGCTTCAGGAATATCCTTGAAAGATATGCCTTTATAAATCTCTTTGTATTCATTAAGGTTTTCTCTAGGGTGCACATTTCTTTGAGCCTCAAATTGTTCTAACTCTTCAGAATCATAGGCCAGGCCATCAGAACCTGTATGATCTTCATCTTCATCTTCATCTTCATCTTCACTACTACTATCATCAGTACCAACTAATACTTGAGATATATAAGCCTCAGTATGGTTGACAATGTTTGGGACACAAACACTTTCTTCACACTCATCTACAGCATAGATATTTAGTACCTTAAATTCATCACAAACAAGGCATAAAAGTTGTATAATCCCTATATCTCCTTCAACTTCATAATACTTACCCGATGGGCCAGCAATTATTAATTGTTATACCCTTATATACCCTCACTGAAGAATGTATTCATCTACTATATCTTTAAAGGACAATAGGTTAGAATCTTTTTTTTTTCCAGATGTGGACCAACTTCTTTGAATAAACTAGGTGTGGCTCTTTAATCCAGCCACCCCTATAATTGAAAACTAGGTCAACAAGAACCATCTACAAACATAAATAAGACAATGTAAAAAATTTTATGACTATAAAGTGATACTTTATACAAAATGGACCCACTTAATAAAGAAATCAGAAACCAAACAATAAAGAATGGGAAAAAAATAGTAAAGAAAGCAGAACATTGGAAAAAAAAATAGTATAGAATGCAGAACATTACAATAAAGAATGCATAGCTACCACTTTTCAATGTACTTAATCACATGCATAAGGGATATTTGGATCCCATTCGATCATACACGAGCAAAAAGATACAACTCAAAGCAATAATAGACCATCAGAAATTAGAAATTAAGGGACCACCACAAAAGATGTACATGTATGACAAAATAACATTAAATCGACAAACTATATAGTAGGAAGCATGTATAATAACAGAAATATGCACATTTACCAAGAAAAAAACCCTAGCTCAAAATATTAGGTAGAAATCGCACATTCTTCAGCAAAATTAGCAGAAACACAACTTTACTTAGCTGAATCATGAAATTTTGTAAGAAATAACTCACCTTTTTGAGTTTCAGATCCGCAATTTTGTCACTGATGGAAACCCTAGATGGAACTGATCCCGTTCGTCATTTCTTTTTCTCAGTTTTGATCTTTTGTTTATGTGTTATTTACGGTGATTTTAGTATTTTACTTGGTTGGTATGGTTTATGAACGGGCGGGCGGGGCAGTAAAATTGGGGCGGGTCAGGTTTATTAAGTGTAGTGGGTTCTTAGACAGATCGTGCTACGTGTCACAGCCATTAAAATAAGGACACATACAAAACTTTGTTGGACGGTAAGGGCTTTAATGGACGGAAAGTATAATGGAGGACGGTATTGAACAATATACCATAGTAGAGGGATATATCGGGCCCTTTTCCGTATAAGAAATACATGTCTTACCTGCATTGATAATAAATTTCTTCTCATCTCCATACCATATAAGTAGAGTTACCCCGAACCAACAAGTGTTGTGGTGGAGCGATAAATACTCCTTCATCCTTAATTAGAGGTTTTGGGTTCGAGTCTTTAGGTATGGAATCGCTTTTGTTATGGAGTGTTTTACCCCTAATGTGGGACTTTCTGGTGTGAATCTGGATTTAGTCGGGCCACGATTCGAATCCCTAGGTATGGAGTCGCCTTTGTTATGGAGCATTTTACCCCTAATGTGGGACTTCCTGGTAGGAATCTGGATTTAGTGGGGCCCAATGTGGGTACCAGACACCGGGTGGAAAACCAAAAAAAAGAGTTACCCCGAGTTTCATGTCTCTTAAGGCATTTCCATCCTTAAGCACTATTTTTTACACTAAAATGGTGAAAATTAACTCTAACTCATTACACTATTTTTTACACCAAAAGAGAATACAACAACAACAACATATCCAGTATTATCCCACACTATGGAGGCCTGAGGAGGGTAGTGTGTACGCAGACCTTACCTCTACCTTGTGAGGATAGAGATGATGTTTCTAATAGATCATCGGCTCAGGAAAGCATAAGCACCACATTAATAAAAATAAAGACAAGAAGGGACAGCTCCAAAAGCCCTATAAAAGCATAATAAAGACAATAAGATAGTAAGATGATTAACAATAAAAGAAAACAACGGTTAGTCATAAAAACCAACTACCAACAGAAAGCGAGACTGCATGTCAATACTATTGTTATAAACCCTCTAGACTACCTATTTTACTACCCTAATCTTCGACCCTCATACACCAAAAGAGAATATCCCTTTTATATTCTTCTCTCTTCTATATTATATTATTTTTTATTTAAATCTTATTTTTTTATTTCATAATACAAGTCCTTTGTTTTCTTTTTTTATATATTCATCTCGTATAATTCATATTCCTTTATTATATAACCATTTAGTATAAAATTATTTTATACCATAAAGTTTTAAATAATATAAGTTGTAAGGAAATATTATACATTAATATATTAATGGATAATTCAAATAAAAGTGAAATTATTTATAAAATATAATTAAATAAATATTACATTATGGTAAAATTTATTTTAATTTTTACATAAATACTGCTCTCACAAATACTCTATTAATGCATTATGAAGAGCAAAATAAGCATCTTTGTCCTTAATTTTTTGTGTCGAGCTAAAAATTATTCGAATCGATAATTTTCATCTACTACCATTTCTACTGTTGGAGTTGGACCTTCTCAAGCATCCTGAATTGATACATTAAGATTACGCTCATCCTCGATTATCATGTTCTGCAGTATAATACGTGTAGTTAATATATCATGTAGCTCTTTTTTTCTCCAAAAATGTGACGGTCCTGCAATAATTGCAAAATGAGATTGCAAAACTCTGAATGTATGTTCAATATCTTTTCGATATGATTCTTGTTCATAGCGAAATATTTTTTCTTTTGAGAATGTAGCTCAAGAATAATTTGCAAAATAGAAGACTATTGTGGATATATACTGCCACCTAAATAATAATCCACATCATATTCTTTTCATTGAACAACATATGGGCGGAAAGAACCTTTAGCAAGATTGAAAAACAAATATGATGAGTCTAAAATATTAATGTCACTATTGGTATCGGGCATACCAAAATATACATGTCATATCCAAAGGTTATAATGAGCTATAGCTTCAAAAATAATTGTTGGGGATCCATTACGACCTGCATAATGTCCAACCCATGCTGTTGGACAATATTTTCATTCTAACGCATGCAATCTAGACTACCTTAGCATTCTTGGAAAACCACGTTGTTCACCGATGTGAAGAAGCCTTGCAACATCGTTAGTTATTGGTGATCTCAAATACTGCTCGCCAAAAACCTCTAGAATAGCTCGACAAAATCTCTTCATGCTTTCAATTGCAGTTGACTTTCCAATTTTTACATATTCATCAATGACATCCGCTGACAAACCGTATGTCAATATTCTAAACACAGTTGTGATTTTTTATAGAGTAGATAATCAAAATCTTTCTATCCCATCAGCGCATTATTCGAAGTACGTATCATGAGCTTTAATTGTATCAACAATATGAAGGAAAAAATTCCGGTACATCCAATACCGACAACAAAGCATATATACCGTCATTAAAGCGTGGTTTATCTAAAAAATAATCGAGAAATAAACTATAATCAGCTGCTTCATGATCTCAATTGATTACCAAATGACCTGGAACGGAGCCAACTCTGAAAACTTTATTATTTTGATATTCTTGCAAATGTTGCAACATATAGTTGTTCATGCGAATATTTTGCAAGATTACTTGATGCTCTTATGCAATAATATCATCTAAATTGAAAGATGATAATGATAATGATAATGATAATGATAATGATAATGATAATGATGAAGAGTAATTTTCATCATTATTATTAGATGAACCTCGAGAGTATAGAAATTCATTTTCAGAAGACAAATAAGAATATTTGATTTGATTTTGAAATGATTGGGAATCCTGAGTTGTTTTCCGAAATGATGTTCATTTTTATAGATTGAAGAATATGTAGAGGTATTTTACCTAAAGATAAATTTTAGATAAGGATGAAAATTCATCCGACGTTTGAGATTATGATGAAATCTATCCGACAGTTGAGATCAAGATAAAATCTATCCTGGAAGGATTTTGAGAAGTTTAAAGATGTATGTGAGTACGTGATTTTTGCCCGACTAAAATATTCCTACATAATTCACAAAATAGGATTTTTCTAATTATTTTATTTTTTATAGAATTTTTAGGAAATTTGTTAATTAATTGTTTGCATTTAGTTGCATTTTTTTTGCATTTTTAACATTTTTAAAATCATAGAAAACTACCAAAAAATATTCAAATCATCATTATATAGCATTTGTATGTCTTAATTGCATTTAGAATCTAATTGCATAAGTTGAATGCACTATTAAAACAAAAATCACAAAAATATTGCTCATTTTTTGTTTCTACTTTTAAATTAGTAATTTCGTTCATTACTTTTAAAGTTAATTAATTGTTAAAATGTTAAAAATAGTTAATTAGGTTTATTTTACAATTAGATTTTTTGATTTAGGACCTAATCTAGATTTTTAGTTAATCAGTGTAGGATGTTTAAAATAAAAGAAAAGAAAGAAGGAAGAAGAGAAAATAAAGAAAAGGAAAAAGGGGCGATTTGGGCCAGCCCAATTGTTCCCAATTCCGCCCTGCTCCAAAATCCCTCACCCGGTCCAATTCCTCCTTTACCAAAACGATCCTGTTTCACTTAATCTAATCTTGACCGTTCATTTCCCTAATCCAACGGCCCTTAACTGATCACCCTTTAGACATATAATTGTCCTAAACACCCTCATACCCCCAAAACCCTAGGGACAACTTCAGTCGTCTCCCTCACCTCTCTCACTCACCTCCGCCGTCGCCGCCTACCGGGAATCGCCCATGGCGGCGATAATACTCCAAACCACCCCAAATTTGTACCCTACACTCCCCACACCCTCCTAAACCTTATCCCCCCATTAATTTCCCCAAAGTCCACACCCATCTTCTTCAATTTCAAATCTGAAATTCCAAAAAAAAAAAACCTAATCCGTTCCTCCTTCTGATTTTTAATGATTTCAAGGCTCGATTCGAGCCGAAATTTATGCCAATCGATTGTTCTCAGTAAGAACAATCGATTAGTGTCATTTTCGGCTCATTTCGAAGTTGCCGGAGTCCGGTCTATTCATCGTTGGCGGCCAGATTTCATCAATTCCATCGTTCGTCGTCTCGCCTCATTCGTCGTCACATTTCTGGTCAAAAATCAGTATACCTTCCTCTCTTGTTCCTTTGTTTTTTCTTTTCTGTTTTGAAATCATCAGTTAAGATTTAGTTTTTGATTTGTTTTGTTAATTGATTCTGATAATTTAGTTTAATCGTATGTGTTTAGGATAATTGAATCATTTTTAGTTAATTCAGTAATTTGGTTTGGGTTTAATGTTAGTTTGGCTCTGTTTTGTTTATGCTTAATAATTGATTTTTGCTAATTAACAAGTTTAATTTCATAACTCGTTTTAGTTAATTTCAGTCATACCCCAATCTCATTGCATATATCATTGTCACAGTAATTAGTTTTAATTGTTCAAAATCAGCTGTTTTCTCTTATTTGACCTTCTGAGCTGCTTTGATTTTGGGACTTAGTGGTTTGCTGGGCTTGACAATAGAAGGCCCATTTAGTTTGGTCCTAAGCTTGTCAGTCATTTGGCCTAAGTCTTGAATGATTGGGGTAAATACAGGGACCTTGCAAGGTAGTTTAGGAATTGAATTTGAAAGAATCTTATCTATAACTGCTTGAGAAGGTTCTAGAATAGAGATAAAGGACTAAAATGTAATAGAACAACTGAATTAAATCAGATTTTGGGGTTTAAAAGGTTAAAATCAGAAGTAAAAGGGTTAGAAAAATGTGAGTAAATATCTGAATGGGAGTTATACAAGATACTATTTTCCTGATTTTTAGGGAGCTGCAGAATATTCCCACACCCCTCTCTCATACCTATCATCTTGCACTCTCACCTTCTATAAAAAAGGACTCATACTCCCTCATTTCACACGTTAATACTCAGCCTGATTCCTCTCAAAATACAACCAGAAATAGATAGATTTTAGAAAGGATTTTTTGAAATTGGATCCTCTTTTTCATTTTTCTGAGACTGCTTTCTTCTAAAAATACTGAAAAATTCAAGATTTGAGGTAGTTTTCTCTGGTTTGCTGCTGCTGTTGACTAGTTGTGCTTGAGGTTCAGCCTTGAAGCTAGGAGTATTGCTTGGTTTTCTTGGTTGCTGTCTTCCTGCAGTAGTTGGGTTTATTTTTCTCAGGGTTCTGACCTTTATTTGGTCTTGTTAAGTGTTGGTTTTCGGCATCTAGGTATATTCTGAAACCTCAAAATGTTGAATTTGACATTTTAATAAAAAACTGGTATTCTATTTCAAATGCTGCTGTGAATTTTGTTTAGCTGTGATCATTGATTCTGTTTGCTGTAGTTTTAGTCAAGGTGTAGCTAATTGGTTTCAAGTTTAGTGAGAGTTGTAGAATCTTAGTTTCATGATTGAAATGAGTTAAATCTGTATAACCTTCATAAAGTTGGATCCAGACTTGGTTTACTTGCACTCAATAGAGCTAATTGTTATTATGAAATTTACAGCATTTTGAGTAGTAACCATTGAGCATTGTTTGAATTAAGGACATGGAATCAGTCCACAACAACTCATGTGTAGATCAGAGTAAATCTTTATTGCATCAGGAATATGTAAAGTGAGAATCTGACAAATGGAGTGAGATTCAGGAAATTGATCCTATGGGAGAGGGCTCAGTTGAAATAGTATCAACTCTAATAAAGTTTTTGACAAATACATTCCTGTTTTTAGTTTATCTTGTCTAGTTAGGCAAATTTGATTAGCGGACAGATTTTGTAATCTTAAATTCCATTGTATTGAGTTTTCAGAAATATGTGGTTGGATATGTTAGATGATAATTACGGCTGTTTACTTTAATATTGTTAATGGCATATAGATTACTATTAGTGAAAACTTTGCAATTCCAACTACATTTAGCATTGTGTAAAATTCTCGCGAACTCTTCAGTGCTTGTAATTAATTAAACTGTTAGCCAGTAGTTTCTTTTCCATTCCTAAATTCTCATTTTTATTGAATTGTTAGTTACTGCTTCTTTGTGTAATATAGCTTTCCTGTGCTATTGGGCTCGTCATGATGGTCCAATATTCGTTTTAATCAGGCTAATTGCAATTGGGCCAGACCCTGAGGGTTTTTGGAGCCCAATTTTTTATAAATTGAAAAGAGTCAAAAGACTCTATGAATCTGCCTTTGAAGTATAACTCCATGTCCAAGCCATACGATTTTTGGGGAAGTGCATGGTTGGCCACTAATAACACATGTATTTACTTTTAAGCCACCGTTTAAAATGTCTTTAGTATTTAGCCACTGCTTTAATAAACTTTAACTGTCCGGACGAAAATACCCTTCTGCTTATGTCCTTAACTTCAGGACTACATGTCCTTAACTTTTCAACTTGGAACTCTAAGTTCAGGACTTCAAGGCTACATGTCCTTAACTTTTGAACTTGTAACTCTAAGTTCAGGACTACATGGCTACATGTCCTTAACTTTTGAACTTGTAACTCTAAGTTCAGGACTACATGTCCTTAACTTTTCAACTTGGAACTCTAAGTTCAGGACTTCAAGGCTACATGTCCTTAACTTTTGAACTTGTAACTCTAAGTTCAGGACTACATGGCTACATGTCCTTAACTTTTGAACTTGTAACTCTAAGTTCAGGACTACATGTCCTTAACTTTTCAACTTGGAACTCTAAGTTCAGGACTTCAAGGCTACATGTCCTTAACTTTTGAACTTGTAACTCTAAGTTCAGGACTACATGGCTACATGTCCTTAACTTTTGAACTTGTAACTCTAAGTTCAGGACTACATGTCCTTAACTTTTCAACTTGGAACTCTAAGTTCAGGACTTCAAGGCTACATGTCCTTAACTTTTGAACTTGTAACTCTAAGTTCAGGACCAAGCGTCCTTAATTTTTGAACTTGTAAGTCAAGTTGAGGACTTATTGTCCTTAACTTTTGAACTTGTAACTGTAAGTTAAGGATTGCTTGGCCTTAACTTTTGAACGTGTAACTATAAGCTAAGGACTGTCTGTGCTTAACTTTCGAACTTGGAAATCAAAGTTAAGGACCTATTGTCCTTAACTTTTGAACTTGGAAATCAAATTTAAGGACCTATTGTCCTTAACTTTTGAACTTGTAACTGTAAGTTAAGGACTGCCTGTCCTTAATTTTAGAACTTGTAACTGTAAGTTAAGGACTGTCTGTCCTTAACTTTTGAACTTGTAACTGTAAGTTAAGGACTGTCTGTCCTTAACTTTTGAACTTGTGTCATTAACTATTGAACTTAACTTTAGGACTTCAAGACTACATTTCCTTAAGTTTTGAACTTGAAACTCTAAGTCCAGTACCATATCCTTAACTTTTGAATTTAACTTTAGGACTACATGTCCTTAACTTCTGGGAAGGAATTGCATTTCCTATTTACTCATCACTCTTTTTCTTATTTTCACAACGTCATATCTTAATCTTTTTTTAAAATCTGGAACCTCTCCCCATTCTCCTTTTGCTTTTGTAATCGTTTTCTTATGTTCTTCATGCTTGTTTAGCTTATCAACAAGAACTATAACCAAAGACATTTAACATTCAGTAGCATTAATAGAAGTTCTTACCATTTGGTGCTCTCGTTGACTTTCCTTACCAATGGGTGAAGGTGAGGTTCCGAATACACGATTGCGCACCTTAGATGCGGAAATGAAACAGTATAAATATACTGTATTTCTGTTTGGGAAAAGAGATAGAAGAAAGGGTAACACAGTCTTTTCATATTAATTCTAATAGACTAGTAGCTATTATTGCTAAGTATTAAAAATGCTGGATAAAAAGTAAATACCAGCTTAAACAATGGCTACCCCACGCCATTTCTACTACGATTTTGGAGTCTGTCTTTGGCCCATTCTATTGGACCAGTTGAAATCCTTAATAAGAGTTTTTCTTTTACCAACTCATCACCCCAGCGAACTTATGTAGGTAGTCCATCCAAAATAATTCATAACTAATGACCTTCATGTTTTTATCTCAAACTTAGATATTAAACAATCGAGAACATCGTAGTTTGCTTTAGGCGCGTAATTAAATTATCACGGCTATAGGTACGGTTGTCGTGGCATAGTTGTAATACTTAATCCCCAATTTGGGTGTGCATTTCATGTGACCCGACCATAACTCAATAATAATAAAATAAACATATTGTAAATCGCGGGTGCATTTTATGTGGTGCGGTTTGCAATGTGTACCAAAACGACAAGTGTACGACATCGTGACTTGTTCCAGAAATAATTTCATAAATAATTAAAAGTGTTAAAGGATAAAAATGCAAAATAGGTTTAAAATATGTATTAAATCAGATAATTAGGCCAATTATTGATAGTTGAGCGACCGTGCTAAAACCACGGAACACGGGAGTGCCTCACACATTCTCTCGAGTTAACAGAATTCTTTACCCGATTTTCTATTTTTGCAGACCATAAATAATAGTCAATTTCCTCGATTTGGGATTTAAAATAAACCGGTGACTTGGGACACCATAAATTATTTCAAGTGGCGACTCTAAATTGAATAAATAATCCCATTTCGATTTATGCCATTTAAATTGGAAAAACTCCCTAACCCTCGGAAAAAAGGAGGTATGACAATGTTTGCTGGAAGTAAAAAAGTTTGAAAGCTAGGCTCTTCTTATATATCATCGGAGTTTGAGACTCCTACTCATGTTTCACCTCTAGTATCATCTCCTAATTTATCATCATTTTCACTAAATTTGAATGAGGATGTTGCAGGTGATTCCACATCATCAGAACGGCTTATTAGGGCGAAGAAAGCAAAAATGAAGAGAAAAATCGATGAAGGTTTTTCATCTACTATAAAATAGTCCAATCAGAAAATAATTGGCTTGTTGAGTTGTTGGCAGTTAAGTGCAAACAAGCAGCGAGATATGGGGATAAAAGATAGAACTTTGAAACTAAAAGAATTTAAACAGGAAAATAAAATCTTATTGACGAATTTAGATTCTATTGATGATCCAAATATTCGTGAATTTATTCGACAAGAACAAAAACGAATAATGGATAAAAGAAGTCAACAATTTCAACAGCCACAACCACAACAATCCTATGCCTCTTACACTTAATATTTTAATGATATTGATGGATTTGAAATCGACCTACTAGAGTACTAAATTATTATTATAATTTTCTAAATTATTATGTTATTTTAATCTATGCCAGTCGCTAATTTAATAAATATTTAATTTTATGTTATTTAATGAACATTGTGTTATTTATTAACAACGTATTATATTTTATATTTGCACTTTTTATTTTTGTGATGGTTATATTTTTTTTATACCATTATAACTTACAATAAAACTAATTACAATTTTATATAAAGAATAATATATATGAAAATTAATACACCAAAATTAAGATGTAAAATTATAAGGATATTACATAAAAAATAATTAGGTATATTAGGGACCTAAATTAAAAAGGTAAAATTTATAATATGTTAAATTAAAAGTGTTATATAATAAAAGAAAATAAAATATTAATAAATAGTGTTACACCAAATAATTATCACAACGCCTCCTCAAATCTCTAGTCAATTTGTCTTGATTTTGTCATTTAGGAGCTATTGCGAAGAGACATAAGACCACTTCCAACCTTACACTAAATATTACACAAATCCTATTTTAGATTGGAGCACCAAAACACCAAATATTATACCAAAATAAATTTTTGGTATAATATTTAGTGTAAGGTTGAATATGGCCTTATGTCTCTATGCAATAGCTCCTAAATGACAATCAGGAGAAATAGACTAGAGATTTGAGGAGGTGTATATTGTCGCGACAAGTAACAGAAGACAGGAAAAAGAATGATAAGAAAAAACACTAGGGACCGCCAAAAACTAAGGGTGTTAAACGGGTCGGGTCAGCCCGGTTCCGGACCGGCCCAGACCGGTTAAATCGGAACCGGCCTGACCCGGTTAAAGGGGGCTGGGTTGGGCTGGGTTAGGAGGGACGCGTGGGTTGCTCCGTTTACGTTTGGGATACCGGTTACCCGGATCGGTCCAACCCGTTAGGTGAACAGGGGAGAAATTCAAAAATAGCCAGATTTACAACTGGTCGTTCAAAAATAGCCCAGTTTCAAAAGTAATTGAAATTTAGCCACTTTTCATGTAAAGATAAATCTGAGCGAAAACACTGTTCAAAACCCGGAAAATACGCCAGTATATTATACTGGAGTTCCAGCATAAGTATGCTTGAACTCCAGCATATTATATTGGAGTTCCAGGATAAGTATGTTGGAACTCCAGCATAATATGATGGAGTTCCAGCATAAGTACACTAGAACTCCAGTATAATATACTGGAGTTCCAGCAAGTATAATTGTCCAGTATAATATACTGGAGTCAGCAAAGTATACCGGTCCAGCATAATATGCTGGAGTCCATACACAGGTGCACCGAACTCCAGTATATTATGCTGGACCGGTCTCTGTTGCAGCAAAATAGTGGCTATTTTTTATTGACTTCGTAAACGTTGGCTATTTTTGAATGACCAGTCCGAAAATTGGCTATACCGTGCTATTTTTACGGTGAACAGTGTTCATAAACCGGTTAACCGGCCCGACCCGGTCTAACGGTAAACTTTTTTTTTAATTTTTTTTTTTAAATTTGGGCCAGATTTGACCGTTGGCAACGGTCCATTTCAGAAAATGGTCGTTGCCCAACGGGTGAATTGCACAAATAGCCCAATTTTGTTTTTTTTAAATTAACCCCCCCTTTCAAAATCTATAAATACCCCCCTCCCCCATCTTCCTCATTTTTTCACTCATCTCTCAATTCTCAATCTCAATTCTCATATTCTCTCATTCTTCAATCTTTATTCTTCACCTATTAAAGTGCAATCAA